TGCACATGCATACACGTGCGTGTACGTGCGCTGCAATCTGATTGGCTGAAACTTTAAACAGCTATAACTTCCTTGTTTTTCAACCAAACAGGATGGGATTTGGAGCATAGATAGATATAATGGACTTCTACAAGAAAGTATGGTCACCATGCACATGCATACATGTGCGTGTACGTGCGCTGCAATCTGATTGGCTGAAACTTTGAACAGCTATAACTCCCTTGGTTTTTAACCAAACAGGGTGGGATTTAGAACATAGATAGATGTAATGGACTTCTACAAGCTGCGTGCACGTGAAATGAGTAAAATCAAAAATACACTTGAATAAGCGTATTTCTTAATACTTTTGGATTAAATACTTTGATATTTAGTATATTAAAATCTATAGATTGTGAAGACAAGATTATATCGTCATTACGCACGTGCATTCACATGCGCACGCGTGCAATGCTAAAATTTGAATGAAATTGGTACACTTCTGGGTAAACATTGTTAATTAAAGTATCAAATGCAACGAGTTTGTCTTATTTAATGAAGCTTATAGGGAATATGGCACCAAAAGGGAGTTGGGGAGCGTTTGGGGAACATCTGTAACGGTCCCCGTTACAATTAGCACTAGTTTTCATTTAAATTTCACAATAAAAAAGAAAACATTGAAGACAAAACATCAAAATTTTTCTACAAAATTTTATTGCAACATATGTCTCAAAGGCCGATTATGGAAACTATATGGTCAAAAGAATTTGATATCAACTGCTCAAATCAATGGCAAAAAGTATATGAGGAAAAAATTAGAAAAATTCTTGATAAAAATGTTGCTGAATTTAATTATCAACTAGTACATAATTTACTACCGAATAATCTCTATCTTAGTAAATGGAATAAAGATATTGATAAATACTGTCCAGTTTGTCGCAGTGAAGAGAATTCTAAACATCTGATCTTTGATTGCATTCAAGTTAAATCAATATGGAACAAAGTCTCTGAAATTATAGGTATAGATATTAGTTGGCGAAATATTGTTGTTGGTTTTAGTCATGGTATCAACCAAAATACTTTTGTTTTGAATAATGTCTTATCATTTATTGCATGTAAAATATTTTAATATAAAATGAAATGTAGAATTATGAAAAATAACATTACAAGTGAAGATATGTTAATTTTTTAGCTCTACGGGTCAGAGACCAGAAGAGCTTATGCGATAGTAATGCGTCTGGCGTCCGTCCGTCCCTCTGTCTGTAAACAATTTTTCAAAATACTACTCCTCCTACAGTTTTGGTCTGATTTCAATATAACTTGGCACACAGGTAAACTACACTAAAATACATAATTCTGTGTTTCGATGAACGGTGTTGCCGTGGTTACTAAAAATAGAAATTTCTGTGAAATTCTTTCAAAACACTACTCCTACAGTTTTGGTCTGATTTCAATATAACTTGGCACACACGTAGACTACACTAAGATACATAATTCTGTGTATCGGTTTTTTGATTTCGATGAACGGTGTTGCTGTGGTTACTAAAAATAGAAATTTCTGTGAAGTTCTTTCAAAACGCTACTCCTCCTACAGTTTTGGTTCGATTTCAATATAACTTGGCACACAAGTAGACTACACTAAGGCCAAAGTTTTTATTTTTTTTTTTTTTGGTGTACGATTTTTTGACACAAAAATATGCATTGGGCGGTCGAAAAATAAAAACAAAAATAATTTGGAACCTTGACATATTTTTTTCTCGAGTAGCATTTAAATGTATTCAAATAAAAATAATAAACACATAAGATTTTTCAACATTATTATTTTTTCTTACCATTCGGTTTTATGTCGACAAAAAAGAATCACGCGTCAAATGAGCCCAGAACAGAAATGGGAGTATCAGAGGCTCGATCTGTTTCTGTTGATGGTTTTCATTCTTCTGACTTACAAGAACGTGTTTCCACAAAAGACACATTGCACTGGGACAAATGTGGGTAAAATTAGGTGAATTGGCTATTCTTAGGTCAGCCTTTCCTCTTATGAAAAAGTTTTTGGAAACTCCGAAAGTGATGGATTGCTTTCACAATTTAGATACGTGTGTCTAAGGACCAACCTAGCCCCGAAATTTAAGGAGACATTTCTCCCTCAAAAAAATTTAGGGAGAAGTTTTGAAATTTAGGGAGACATCTTGGCGCGCGTATGTGGCACACATTGATAAATCGTTATAAAACTATTTCACTGTTTATAACTTACATACATTTCAATAATTTAATTCTGTGTAAACATTGTATTTAAAATGATAAAACAAGAGAAAAAGAATCTGAAAAGATATTTCCCCCAATTACAAAGTATATAAATATCTAGAAAAAAATAATAAAACCACATTGACATTAAATAAAATTTACTACTACTATTAAAATGTAAAAGTTTCTTATTGTCAGATTAATTGTTTATCAAACATTTTTTTCATTTTTACATAGTGGCACAAAATTAACCACAAACTTCTAAAATTTCTCTTCTCATTTGATTTCCAGGCTTCTGGCATAGTCATAACTTTGTTAATTTCTCTTCAAACTTCGTTTTCAATATAAAATTCTTTTTCTAATAAAAGTCTTGACGCACATATGCATGCCGATTGAACTACTTATGTTTATCGGATCCGATGTGTGACTTCTTAGGAAGTCAACAACTTCACAATTTAACAGTAAAATATGTCTGTATTTGACAATAAAAAGATCTAACATCTTCTCCAACATCTTTGGCATGACATCAATAGCTGTCCAGCTGTTTTGCGTCTTGTTGTGTATAACTTGTAACGATGGACTTTTTCATACCCGGAAGTGTAAAATCTAGAGGACTTCTGACGGAGTATTCGATGCATTGGTCATTAGAAACAGTCTGTAAGTGAGTCGCCTCCTAGGTTGGTCCTGACAGTCTGTATTTGTGGAGGTCATTTGAATGTTTAAGATGTGGTGAAATAAAAACAGTCGTTTGGTCGAGAAAATTTCGGATGAAGAGTCCAGTTTCGAGAGTCAGACACATTATTTTTATTTTTGTAAATCGCAAAAATAGGGTCGGCGGAATCGTAAACCAAGAGAAAAAAAACTTTGGCCTAAGATACATAATTCTGTGTATCGGTTTTTGATTTCGATGATGATTTCGTTACTAAAAAAAGAAATTTCTGTGAAATTCATTCAAAACGCTACTCCTCCTACAGTTTTGGTCTGGTTTCAATATAACTTGACACACACGTAGACTACACTAAGATACATAATTCTGTGTATCGGTTTTTGATTTCGATGAACGGTGTTGCCGTGGTTACTTTAAATAGAAATTTCTGTGAAGTTCTTTCAAAACGCTACTCCTCCTAAAGTTTTGGTTCGATTTCAATATAACTTGGCACAAAAGTAGACTACACTAAGATACATAATTCTGTATATCGGTTTTTGATTTGTTGCCGTGGTTACTCAAAATAGAAATTTCTGTAAAATTCTTTCAAAACGCTACTCCTCCTACAGTTTTGGTCTGATTTCAATATAACTTGGCACACAAGTAGACTACAGTAAGAACTTAAAGAGACTTAATCAAGGATCATTATTCTATTTATTGCTGTTGTAAAGTTCCTATTCCCAACTGCTTAAGTACTTTTCTCTCCCGTTCCTATAAGTACAAACCAGCAGAGCTTCAGTCTCGACAGAGACTTCTGGTTTGAAAAATGCTCTCATGAAATTCTATCTTGTGACTAAACGATCCCAAAGCATCTCATACAATTTTCACATTTTGAGATCGTTGGCATTAAACTTGTAATTATTGTTATAATATAACCTTTATATGAGGTATATGAGGGTGACCTAGCCCTCTATACATGTTGCTCAGGGGTGTGTTGGACAGTGTTTTGTGTGTTCCCCCAGCAACATAAAGGTATCATTTTCTATCTGTATCTATACTTGTCAATATACAAATTGATTATGCATTTACTCTCTTGATTTAAATATTGTTACATTTTTTGCTATCAAATCTAGGGAGCCCCTGGCACCCCTAGTGAGGGTTATTATAGGGGGACATCTGCGGATGTCATTACCCCAAACGCTATCTTGTTATCATGTTTTCATTTAATAAAGTATTAGAAAAAAAAACAAAAAACAAAAAACCATGTCCTTCAGGACTGTCTCAGTACTTTGATTTCTATCTAGCTCCGGAAAGACTTCAATACTGGTGAAAATGTGCGAATTTTATCTTGTTTAAGTGATCGACCTAACGTACTTCACCTCGCAGGATTCGCAGGTAAGTACATGTATAACCCAACTCAAACGCTAGTTGAATAAATGAGGTTTCAGCTTTTAAAGAACATTTATCAACCTCTCGCGCAACTAATTGCGGAGGGGATATTGCATCATCGCTGCTGTGCATGTGCTGTGTAATAGCGAGTCCGTAAAAGCTTGTGGTAAAGATTTAAAGAGAATATTGTGGGGAAATGTACCATTGATTTGAGAAGTTGAGATATACAGAATAAATAAACAACTAAACATATTGAGTCGTGTGTAAGACGTAACTACAAACTGATTCGTAATCGATAAAATGATTGTATGTGTCAGCTATGTAAATGCTTTGTTTTATACCCCCCTTCCTGCTTTTTTAAGGTGGATGTCCGTCCGTCTGTAGGTTTGTTCGTCTGTCTGTACGTCCGTCTGTTACGCTTTGGCGTCCCCGTCTCTTATCCGCAACGCCTCTTATGCCACTGAATGAAATTTGATGAGACTTTCAGAGAATCTTTTTTTTACATTATGCCATTGTACACCTCCTATTTTACTTTTTGATCCGACACATATTTCAAGTTTCCAATAGCAAAACATGAAACTGTCATTATATTCATATGGGAGGCGGGGGTAGTGAGCTCATTGCTTACAGTACCTCTGTTTGTTTTTATATTCTTCAATTCAGGAACACTCTCTCAAAAGAAATGAATCTAAATCACCAGTAAGACTCTGGTCGTACGCTTCCTACTAATGTGCTGATTTTGTTACAGGAACTAGCAGGACCGTGCTCCAATAAGGTCTGTGAAATCAATGAAAAATGTATAAACATCGGATGTAACACTTCCTGTCAAATATCAGGTTTGTACATCTGAAATATTTTTGTAGCGACAAGATACTAAAACTGCTGAAATTTTCCTTTATCTATTTTTTTCTATCGTGAATTCTTTTTAAAAATTAATAACTGTTTGTTCATCACACTTTTGAAAGATATGTTAACATTGCCAGCCTGGGTCTTCTGTTTGATAATTACGGAGTATTCTACTTGGTTTAAATAGCTAATCCTTGAGAAGGGTTTCCTTCCAATTTTGTCTTAAAAAAAATTTTTTTCTGAATGTTACATTTCCAATTTTTTTCCAATAACAGATTGTGGGGTCCCTTTCACCAGAAAGATGACGTCAGACAGCGTGCAGTGGTGGGACGGTATTGGTGTGGAAAGACGAATACATGTCAAATGTTCTGAGGAGTACCAGCAAAACGGAAGTGGAATCTTTATCTGTAACAGGAATGGGAAATGGAACAGTGACATGAGTTGTAATGGTAATTTTTTTTCTCGTAAATTTGAAAATATAAATTTGAAAATAGCATTATCTTCATGTGTGTCTGATATATATCAATAGTTGCTTCGCTAAAAGCTGATGTATAGTTTTATTTGTTCAGTTGCATTTTATAAAGAAAAAAAGGAAAAGGAGTTATGCACATACATGAAACATTCTTGTTTTTTGTTGAGTTCTTACATGAAATTTCGCTTACACGGAACAGTCGTTAAAGGCGAGCAATCAAGGATTTGATCCTTACCTCGCGGCTCTAATTAAACAAGGGCACGTAAAGACAAGTTCTCCGGATAAAAGTGTATAAAACAAGGTCCTGTTGAAGTAGTTACCGGTAGGATCTACATGGTCATCAGTGCGGAGTACTGGTCTTGTGTATTGATTGATACCAACTCGTATATTATCAAGACGCTCTTTATTTTCTGTCAATAACAAAAACAGTTTTGAAAGGGAAATTCTAAATCATGTAACATAAACAATCTAGATTACACGATAGCCAATAGTTTTTGAACGTGGACATAATAAGAAAAATTCTGCAAGCTAAAATAAAAGATTAGGTTAAAAAACGAGATTTTTTCCCTTCAAAATATCACATACTTACTTATCTTGCATAATTACTTTTAGGGAAAAGACTCGGGTGTTTTAAAGAGTACTCTACCTGGGTATTTGAACCTCCGGATTTTGTGAGATTTATTGAAACAAACAATCTCACTAGATGCACTAGGCACTGCATTAGAATTGATAAAGAATTCAAATATATCGGACTTCAGGTACACTTTCTATTTTTTAAAGAGGAACAATTGCAATCCACTGAACATTAAAATGATTTCTGTTCTAGAAAAGTTTTAATTGAATTCCATTTTCTCAACAGTTAATCTCTTATTCAGGAAAAAAAAACGATGTTGGAGTTTGGAAATGCAGACCATAAAGACATAATTTTTGTGTTTAGTATCAAAAGTGGGTAGCTTTTTAGCTCACCTGAGCCGAAGGCTCAAGTGAGCTTTTCTGATCACATTTTGTCCGTCGTCCGTCCGTCTGTAAACTTTTCAAATTTTTGACTTCTCAAGAACCAATGGACCAATTTTAACCAAACTTTGTACAAAGCATCCTTGAGTGAAGAGGAGTTTAAATTGTTAAAATAAAAGGCCAAGTCCCCTTACAAGGGGATATAACATTAAAAAATCTTCTTCTCAAGAACCACTGGGCCAGGAAAGCTGAAACTTATGTGGAAACATCCTTGGGTAGTGTAGATATTAAATTGTTAAAATCATGACCCCCAGGAGTTGGACGGGGCCACAATAGGGAATCCAAGTTTTACATAGAAATATATAGAACAAATTTTTAAAAATTTTCTTCTTAAGAACCGCTGGGCCAGGAAAGCTCAAACTTATGTGGAAGCATCCTGGGGTAGTGTAGATTCTAAATTGTTCAGATCATGACCCCCGGGGGTAGGACGGGGCCACAATAGGGAATCCAAGCTTTACATAGAAATATATAGAACAAATCTTTAAAAAATCTTCTACTCAAGAACCACTGGGCCAGGAAAGCTGAAACTTATATGGAAACATTCTTGGGTAGTGTAGATATTTAATTGTTAAAATCATGACCCCCGGGGGTAGGGCGGGGCCAAAATAGGGAATCCCAAGTTTTACATAGAAATATATAGAACAAATCTTTAAAAATCTTCTTCTCAAGAACTACTGGGCCAGGAAAGCTGAAACTTATATGGAAGCATCCTTGGGTAGTGTAGCTATTAAATTGTTAAACTCATGACCCCCAGGGGTTGGACGGGGCCACAATAGGGAATCCAAGTTTTACATAGAAATATATAGAACAAATCTTTAAAAATCTTCTTCTTAAGAACCACTGGGCCAGGAAAGCTCAAACTTATGTGGAAGCATCTTTGGGTAGTGTAAATATTGAATTTTTAAAATCATGACCCCCGGGGGTAGGGCGGGGCCACAATAGGGAATCCAAGTTTTACATAGAAGTATATAGAACAAATCTTTAAAAATCTTCTTCTCAAGAACCACTGGACCAGGAAAGCTGAAACATATGTGGAAACATCCTTGGGTAGTGTAGATATTTAATTTTTTAAATCATGACCCCCGGGGGTAGGGCGGGGCCACAATAGGGAATCCAAGTTTTACATAGAAATATATAGAACAAATCTTTAAAAATCTTCTTCTCAAGAACCACTGGACCAGGAAAGCTGAAACTTATATGGAAGCATTCTTGGGTAGTGTAAATATTAAATTTATAAAATCATGACCCCCGGGGGACGGGGGTAGGGCGGAGCCACAATAGGGAATCCAAGTTTTACGTAGATATATTTAAAGAAAAATCTTTTAAGAATCTTCTTCTTAAAAACCTTTGGGCCAGTAAAGCTGAAACTTATGTGGAAGCATCCTGCATGTGGTAGTGTAGATTCTAAAGTGTTAAAATCATGAAAAGAAAGGGGGTAGGGGGCATGATAGGTATAGCAAGAGGGATAATTTGGTAAAGAACTGCATCACCCAAGTTACTCAGGTGAGCGATGTGGCCTATGGGCCTCTTGTTTTAAATATAATTTTTAATCCCAGAAAAAAGAAAAGAATGTTTCATCAGACAGAATTAAATAGATGATAGCATTGACTTCATTTCCTAAAAAAAATTTAGAAGTCAAATAAATCATTATACTTTTATCTCTCTTCATTAGTTTATTACGGGAATGTTAATGTTATCTAACAGATACAGCGAACTGCGCTTATAGTAATGAAACTCTTTTGTCCATGGCACTTTTTTTTTATAGAAATATGTTTACTGTATTCTTTATACGTAACATTAAAATTACAAATATAAGATTTTTCGTAAAGAATAAATAAGGAAAATGCCTGGGAAATGGGTTTACATGAACCTAGCAACAACCTTCAATTCTCTTATCATTTTCTGATTTCGAGATATATAAATAGCAATACACAAAATATTTCTTTATACATTAAAGATATGAATTGCACACAAAAAAATCATTTTAATTCATTCTATGCGTACGTGTTAGAGGATATTCACTTAAAGCTTAACTGAGCATAAAGAAAGTTTCATGACATCAACATGAAGCCTTTTCAGCTATCTTACATTTTCATGTTGGTTTCTGAGAGCGAGGTCCTTTGAAATGGCCCCAATTTTGATTAAATCTAGTTTTGCTTCTAATGCACTCAAATGAAAAAAAGAGCAAATTCAAAGATAACGGTATACATTCTTAAGGATACCTATCTTAGGCAAAAAATAAAAATAACGAAAACGTTTTTCTACAAACATGTTACATACACTGTACAAAAAATAAGACGAAACAGTTCGAATGATTTTCTTTCATCTTCATCATATGCATGTATTTTCAGAATGGCTACGCATGTTTCTGTGGTCATCGTATAAGGTTATGGCCAAAAGTTCCCGACGAGGAATGTAACTTTCCCTGTCCTGGTGATGTACGTCAAACATGTGGAGGGCGGATGAAGAATGAAATATTTACCGTCGAAGAGAAACTAGAAAACATTGGCATAAAGTGACATCTTTTTTATCTTATTACCCACCTCTGCTCTCTCACCAGATAATTAGATAATTAGAGTCAAACTACGAACTTATTAATAAGATTTTTCAGAATGGATTAAGAATGTTTAGTGCTTTTTCAACTGTATCATTAAGGGTTGAACTATTAATATTGTTTTTCACCCTAACGTGATGTCATAGATAAGAAAAAAAAATAAAGAATTCATATTCATACCAAAGAGAAATAGATCTGTTTGTAGATTTCTTTCCATTTGCCTAGTGAAAAATGATGTTTGGTAAAATATTTTTTTAAACATAAGACTCATTGGCCATATTGCTCACATGAGCATTGTGGCTAGGAAAAAAAGCAAAAACAACCCAAGTTAAAGATTTTTTTTCTATATATTTCCAGGTAAAACTTTGATCGTCGATTATGGCCCCACCCTCAGGGGTCAAGATTTCAAGAAAATTGCATTTACACTACCTGAATGCTTCCATATAAATATAATCAATCATGTCTATGTTGTTCTTGAAAAGATGATTTTTAAAGATTTTTTCCAATAGATTCTTCTGAATAATTGCCGACTAGGCGTTTTATAATGATAATCATTCCAATATATTCATATGTATAACTTGGATCGTCCATTTCAGCCTCACCCTACCCCCAGGGGTCAGGATTTGAAGAAACGTGAATGTACACTACCTGAGGATGCTTACACATTAGTTTCATCTCTCCCAACCCAGTGATTCTTGAGAAGAAGATTTTGAAAACACACAACCAAATTTTTTACTATTTCTTAATCATCTCTTCTTGAATGAGCGCCTGGCCATAGTTTTTTATGGACAAACAGACAAATATATAAACAGACATACAGACGCCCGGACAGGACTAAAACTTTAAACTTAGAATCTTTGATTAGGGAGTCATAAAGAGTGTTTTACATTTTTTTCTTGTACCAAAAAATAAATAATTAAATAAAAAACTTAGCGATATATTATTTGTATCTTTTATATCGGTATTGTTTCAGCAA